CTCCTTAGATTTACCCATACGGATTACCTAGTTTTCATAAATTATATATATATATATATATATATATATATATATATATATATATATATATATATGTAAAAGACAATAGGAAAACTAATATTAGCCGACACGTTTCGTACAATATGGACTTTTTCAAGTCAAAAACGAAATTAATTTATTAAACATTAAATATTCTTCTCTTGCTGATAATTTGTTTTTTACTTCTGTGGCAGTGGAGACTTCAGGGGTTATTGGCCCTCCTTCGATGGCGTTCCTTCGGAGGATTGGCGCGATAGCGTCTCGATTAAGGGACGAGCCGCGCAAAATGGAGTGGCTCTTACAGCGTGTCTCACTGGCGATGGTTCGAGGTAATGCTTTCTCCATCATTGCGGCTGGCAGAGGTTAGAAAAAATTGTTCATTGTTACGTTGTTCTGGAATTGTCATCAGTGGTCAACTGTAATTGTTTTGTTTCAATAAATTTTGTTTCATGACACCAAATTTATAACGAAAAAAAAAAAATTAAATAAAGTAACAAAACAAAATATCCTTAGCAACTGGAAGAATTTAGAAAACGTTATTTTCATACTGTTAACTGAAAATTACGTCATTTGCAATCACATGTGGAGTTATTGTTTTTATTGTTGTGTTGACGGATTCAATCATTTTCTTTTGATTTCTTGATACTGTTGTGTACGTTTGTTTGGGAGAGTAGTAATTCTATTAAGAAAGCGATATACATTGGACGAAATGCGTCGGCTAATATTAATTTTTCTATTGTCTTTTACATTTATAAATATTGTCTTTTCTACAGGTTAATTCTGAGAAATCTTTCATATATATATATATATATATGCAGCATGGCTTCATTCAAATATGTCTCATTGAATAATATACACCTATTATTTCTATAAAGCATATTTGAATGAAGTTATGCTGCATATATATATATATATATATATATTGAAGCAGCATATCTTCATTGAAACATGCTCCTTTGAATAATATAGACCTATTACCTCTATAAATAAAACAGATATAATATGTCTATATTATTCAATGAAGTATATTTGAATAAAGATATGCATTTTATATATATATATATATATATATATATATATATATATATATATATTTATTAAAGACATATTTTATGTTTAACGTTGTTATTTTATAGATACAAGTATTTAAGGAAATGCTCTGTTTACAAGGTCGAATTTACTGCTTATAAACTCCAATTTTCCATGAATCTCGTACATTCATAACTGCTCTACCGAACGCTTCTTTGTAGCCTAAGCGGTAAGGCACGTCAGCGTATATGACGGTTCCGTATAGGATGCAGGTTCGAATCCTGTCAAAGAACGAAAATTTTCTATGAAAATTTCTCGGACATTCAGGCCGGTAAATGTTATTTAATACTGTTTATCATAAACAGAGCATTTGCTTAAATACTTGTATCTATAAAATAACAACGTTAAACATAAAATATGTCTTTAATAAATAAATTGTCGGACCTTGTCCATTTCTTAATATATATATATATATATATATGCAGCATATCTTCATTCAGATATGCTTCATTGACTAATATAGACATATGTCTATTTATTTTTATAATAATCTTTTCTTGCTCTCTAAATACAATAATAACCTCTTCAAATCCCGGGTCAACATTGATATATCAGACATATCCTCATAATATACACATCTTACTTTCACTTTTACGCTTTTACATCATCATTCACTAACCATCTACCTCGAGTGGCTCTTGGGCCTATAAACAGGGTCGACTCATCCTTATTCCTTTCGTATTTCATTGGTAAGGAAAAAGTTCCCCTCACACAGGTTCTTCTCCAAGGCTGAGTCCCGAGAAACTGCTTTCCTCACTACAACCTTATCCTTTTCAAGTCTCGGATTAAGCGTTATATATCCTACATATCCTCATAATATACACTTTTTACTTCCTCTTTTACGCCTTTACATCATCATTCACTAATCTTCTTCCTCGAGTGGCTCTTGGGCCTATTGAGATTGTTAGCGAACAGGGCGTAGATATCAAATATGTAGAGTGAAATAATGTTTGACGTCAAAAACGTTTTAGTTCCTCCCAGAATTTTAATTTCTTAGATTATCTTTAAAGGAAAATGTTTTAAAGAAGTTTCATGCATAAAAAATCTTGCCATTTTAATACCTTGCCAAAAAATGTTTCGAAGGCAACCAATCAGTGGAATCGCACCAGACTCCTCAGATATGAATGCAATATAAAATTTATGGTATATCCTTCAAAAGAGAAAATTATATTGAAGTAAAGAAGATATATAAACATACAGGTAAACTGATACAGGTAATATGTAATAAAAAAGTCAACAGTTTTCCATCTAATAAAATTTGATAATAATATTACTAAAACTACTAAATGAAAAATAAGCGAAATTAAAATTACTACTTGTCAAAAATTAGTATAGGTTAATATTACTTGTGGTTTGGTTTGGTTTGTCTTGTTTTACAGCATATCAACCACAATGGGTTATTTAATGCCAACAAAATTTCCTTTTTTTTCATAATGTATAGCTGGTAATATTTAAAAAAATAGTTTTGTGGCATATTAACCTCAATGGCACCTGTCTCTATTTCTGAAATGAGGTATTATGTACATTATTCGGATTATTGTCCTCATCCTTGTCGCCATATTTATTGCAACGTTTCGGCCATTGTACGCTCCGGACTTCTTCAGGTGGTTGGAATGTCGAACTGAACCATTTATTTAGGCTGTTCTAATGAATGTCATTTATCAGTTATCTCCTGTTAATTTCCCTCTGAAAGTTCCTCTCTGAAAGTTCTCCACTGCCTTAACCGGGTATTGAACTCACGCTCTTTGGGTCCTGTCACTGGACTTTATCCACTGTACCATGTGTCTTTCAGGACATCTGTATATGAATTTCTGGGTATTATAAAGCTAATGACTTCAGTAATCTTTTTTACCAGTGCACATATTGCAATATCGGGAGAGAAAGGAGATCACCGCCCTATGTGGGATCATGTTGAGAGCATAGACAAGGAACACCACTGGAAAATTCGTAAACAAGGAATCAGCACATAAATCCCCTGAGCCGGCCAAGCATAGAAATGAATACAATACGGGAACCAGTAATAAGGAGTGCCAGAGAAAAGCGATAATAACAACAAAAGTAGCAATATGAGCTCTGGTAAAAACATGCATTGATAACAGCAAAAAAAAATTGCGATATGAGCACTGGTAAAAATGGTTGCTGAAGAAATTCATACACAGATGTCCTCAAGGACACATGGCACAGTGGATGAAGTCGTTGGTTAGATCCAGTGACAGGATCCAAAGAGTGTGAGTTCAATACCCGGTTAAGGCAGTGGAGAACTTTCAGAGGGAAATTAACAGGAGATAACTGATAACTGACATCCATTAAACATGACATGTGGAACTAGAACAGTCTACCCCAGTGAGCGAAATAAAGGGTTAAGTTCGACATTCCAACCACCTGAAGAAGGCCGGAGCGTACAACAGCCGAAACGTTCTAAATAAATATGGCAACAAAGATGAGGACAATAGTCCGAATAATGTAAATAATGTAACCTCAATGGGTTATTTAATGCTGACAAAATTTATATTTCTGTTAATATTTTCTTTTTTCAAGTATTTATTGCTGATATTAATTCTTTTTAAAAGTATTTCTGGTATTAAAATCTATTTTTACATTTTCATAGCATTTTGAGTCAGGTTGTGGGGTCAACTGTTTGCATATAGCTGGGGCCCTAGCAGGTGTTACCACCCCGGGTGAGGGTAGAGCTTGGACCACCAGCAATGAAGAGGTTGTTCCACGCTCCTCAAAACTTTCTGATCAGAGGCCTTGTTGCTGGACGTAGTTTATCGTCTTACCCCGGACACGCATGTAGTTTATCTTCATATCCAGGACGGTAATATTGCTTGTGATATTAAAAATTGTTACTACAAATTTTCCTAGTGGAAATAAAGAAATTGAATTGAAATGAAGATGAAAGAAATTCTAGTTAAAAATTAATAGGTTTGACAGTACTTCATCTAATCAAAATTCCACGTAATATTACTACTCCTGGTGGAAAGAAAGCAATTGAAATGAAGATGAAAGAAATCCTAGTCGAAAATGAATAATGCTTGACAATGCTTCATCTAATCAAAAGTTCAGATAATATTACTACTACTAATACTACTAGTGGAAATAAAGCAATTGAATTCGAAAGAAATCATGGACAAAATGAAATGATGACTGAAAATGCTTCGCCTAATATAAAGTCAAGATAATATTACTTCGAAAACTACCAGAAGAAAAACAAGTTAAATTAAGATGCATGAAATCTTAATAAAAACTAATAAAGTTTTACAATGATTCTCTTGAGACAGATCTGAGTTAATATATAAAGTCTCTTTAATATAACTTCCTAAAATATTTATCTACATACAACGGCATGTGTTTATTTACTTTAACCAGGAAAGTATAAACGGATGACCAGGAAATAAGCCAGTCAGCGATTTAACAAAATGCTGCTTTGATTTGGGTTGTCCTTTTAAGTAAGCCAAACCTTTTACTGTTGTCTATTCTGAAGGTCAGCACTTGTCTTCGGGGTCCTTAGCTGCTGCATTCGGACATGCAATCTATTGTCCACATCGCAACAACGGTCATTGCTGGTCGATTTTAAGATTTGCCATTTCACTGATCTACTAAGATTGTGCATCGTCATCTTAATCTTGTTCCCATTCGAATATTGGTTTTGTCAAGACGAGAATTCCTACCGCGACCACTTGTTTCCCACCGGGATTGGTAGCAGTGCGCATGCGCGATGCAGAAGAAGAAAAAAAAATTCGTTTGTGACTTACAAAAGCTCACCTGGGAAAAAGGCAAGTAAATTCCTGATGATTTGCAGAAATTGTCTGAAAACTGCAAGTGGCTATATGTAGATAATGGAAACTTTAGCAGAAATAAAGGTTCTTTACATTGTAGTGGTGGTGATGGAGTGAATAGGATTCTGCAATATAAAACTAAAGTGAGATCGATATGAAGGGGTCGAAATATAGATAGATAGATAGATACGAACAGACTGATATAGATAGATATAAACAGACTGAGATAGATAGATAGATAGATAGATAATGAAAAGGCTGAGATAGATACGAACAGACTGACATAGATAGATATAAACAGACTGAGATAGATAGATAGATAGATAGATAGATAGATAGATAGATAAATGAAAATATTCATTCAATGATAGATACGAACAGACTGACATAGATAGATATAAACAGACTGAGATAGATAGATATAGATAGATAGATAAATAGATAGATAGATAGATAGATAATGTAAAGGCCGAGATAG